AAAAAGGCGGCAGAGGCAATCCTGGCAATTACAGGCCTGTAAGCCTAACTTCAGTACCAGGAAAATTGGTTGAAACTATAATAAACAACAGAATTATAAGACACATAGATGACCTCAATTTTCTGGGAAAGAGGCAACATGGCTTTTGTAAAGGGAAATCATACCTCACCAATCTATTAGAATTCTTTGAGGGAGTCAGCAAATGTGGACAAATTGATCCATTGAATATAGTGTACTTGGATGTTCAGAAAGCCTTTGACAAGGTCACACACTAGAGGCTCTTAAGCAAAATAAGCATTCATGGGATAAAAGGGCAGGCCCTCTCTTGTATCAGTAAATGGTTAAAAGACAGGAAACAAATGGTAAGAATAAATGGTCAGTTTTCACAATGGACAGAGGTAAGTAATGGGGTCCCCCAAAGATCTGTACTGGAACCAGTGGTGTTCACCATATTCATAAATTATCTGGAAAAAGAGATAAACAGTGAGGTGGCAAAGTTTGCAGACATACAAAATTACTCAAGGTAGTTAAGTCCAAAGCTGACTGTGAAGAGATACAAAGAAATCTCACAGAACTGGGTAACTGAACAAGAAAATGGCAGATGAAATTCAGTGTTGCTAAATGCACATTGGGAAGCAATCCCAACAGTACATGTAAAATGATGGGTCTATATGACTGTCACCAGTCAAGAAAGAGATCTTGGAGTCATCCTGGATAGTTCTCTGAGAACATCTGCTCAATGTGCAGCAGCAGTCAAAAAAGCTAACAGAATGCTAGGAACCATTAGGAAAGGGATAGATAATAAGAGAAAATATCATAATGGCACTATATAAATCCATGGTACACCCACATCTTCAATAATGTGTGCAGTTCTAGTCACCCCCATCTAAAAAAAGTTATATTAGAATTGGAAAATGTACAGCGAAGGGCAACAAAAATGATTAGGGGTATGGAATAGCTTCCTTATGAGGAATGATTGAAAAGAGTGGGACCATTCAGTTTAGAAAGGAGACAACTAAAGGGGGATATGATAGAAGTCTTTAAAATCATGACTAGCATGGAAAAAGTGAATAGGAACATGTTATTTATTCCTTCATATAACATAATAACCAGGGATTGCCTGATGAAATTAATAGGCAGCTGGTTTAAAACAAACAAAAAGAAGTACTTCTTCACACAACACATAGTCAATCTGTGGAACTTCTTCTCAGAGAATGTTGTAAAGGCCAAAAGTATGACTATGTTCAAAAAAGAACTAAATAAGTTCATGGAGGATAGGTCCATCAATGGCTATTAGCCAAGATGGTCAGGGATGCAACCCAATACTTTGGGTGTCCTTGAGTCTTTGACTGCCAGAAGCTGGGACTGGAGAACAGAGGATGGATCACACAATAAGTGGCCTGTTCTGATCATTCCCTCGGAAGCATCTGGCATCAGCTACTGTCAGAAGACAGGATACTGGGCTAGATAGACCATTGGTCTGACCCAGTATGGCCATTCTTATGTTGTTTACTAATGTAAAGGAAACTCAAGCAGTGGTGTCATGAGTAGGTACAGATGCTAACTCAAGACCATTTTTTCTTTAACAATGTTTATTCTCAGCACATAAGATTTTGGCTTGGACTTGTAACATTTCGGAATGACTTTCTGAAATACTGAGTTTTGTCTCAGTCATTTCAGACAAACCTATCCCTACCTGGAACACTGAAGCATAGGCCCCAAACTTATAAACACATATGCAGATGAGTAATAACAATGATGAGCATGGGCACAGGAACAGAAGAGGGCCTGGGCACAGATCTGATTGGGCTTCATCTACTGGTGGCTCAGCCAGCTGTGAGGTGACCCAGCCATTGGACTCCAGGTATTTTAAGCCCCTCAGACTCTGAACAGGGTCCAGTCATTGCCCCTGTCTTGAAGTCTTTAGGCACACTCTTGGGGTGCAGACTCTTGGGAAGCCATGGCAGCTGTTTAGCATCCCCTCCTGAGAACTGTGACCACATGGCCCAGCTGCCTAGCACCTGGGCTTTGTGCTGACTCCTCAGGTTCTTCTGTAGCTTAAAACACACCCTCTCTCAGAACTCCACTCATAAGTGTAAGCCTTATGGGTTACCTCCTCAAAGGGCCACGTGGTGGGTATAGCATATAACACAAAAACACCTTTCACAGAATTCTAATGCATTATTGCTCTTTATTTAAGCACAGAAAATACAAATTACAGATCATATAGAAAACAACAAACATCCTGAACACAATGCTCCTCATTCTAGCTCACCCTTCCTTTGGAAGTCCTTAGGGGACCAGTATTCAGGTAGATAGAGTTCACTCCCCCACCCTCCCACCCCCGCAGGCTCTTGCAGTAGTTTTCCTCATCCTGAGCTTGTGAAAATGGCCAACAAATCCAAAACAGAGCAGCTTCTGCCCTTTTATAACCTTCCAGTCCCTCAAACTTGTGACTCCCTGGTCAGCCTTAACAGATGACCTTAGGGTTATACTAAGTAACTTTGTTATCAGGCAACTTCTCCCCTGACAAACCAATTCTCCAGGGTAGAAGCCAGTCTTTTGTCTAGGGTGTTTTCTTTTTGAATATTTAGTGACCCTCTATTATTAGGCCTTTGCCACTAAACTTGTTGCAATTTCAGTCCAACACATGAAGGTGAAAGTACAACAAAGAACAAATAAGGCTGCACCTTCAAAATGCATTTTGCAGCGTGCTAAGGATACATACAGAGATCTGATAATCTCACACATGTTAAAGATACAGCAATATCCTGCAAAATCCTTGAAAACCTTTACTGAATTAAGTTTAAGTATCTTGGGGATCCATTTTGTTAAATAATGGTTTAGGTATAATTTTGGGCCAGGATCATATGTAACCTCTCTAGTTGGGAGATGTGATGTAAGGCCCGAATGCTCAAGAAACTATATTGGACAATGTGCATGACAAAAATGGACTTTGGGGATAATATGTGTGAAATGAACTTCCTGGGATATAAAGAAGAGGTGTATGCAAATTCCCAACCTCTGGTTATGCAACAATCCAGCCTTTTGAAGCTATGTCCTGAGGAGTGAGCCATTGTCTGTTGATCACATAAGGCCAAGCTCAAAGACCAAAGCTATATAAAGGAAAGACTAAACTATTCATGGTTGTTCTGGTTCTGAATCTGAGACAGTTATGAACTAGTAGGCACAGGGAAAACCCTAATTGTGAGTTTTGAAGGACTGATCCCAAGGATGGAGTTGGAGTGTCCTCTAGGAAGCTTTTTAACATGCATTACTTCTGGTAAACTTTCATTGTTTTTAATATGTTTTCTCGGTAATACTTTCACCTTAAGACTAAAGTGCTTGTTTATAAATACCTGTGTGGTAACTTGTAACAGCTGGCAATTACAGATGTTCAGAGCCTTCAGAGAGACAGCAAAGCACAGATGCTGGCCTATCTAGGCAGCCTGGCTTGCTGGGGATATCATAGTGTAAGCAGGGAAATGTGCAGCCTGGAAAAACCCTGGTCAGGAGGACGAAAGATGCAAGTCTCTTCCCAAGCTAGGTGATGGCTGAGATGCTGGGAGCCTAGAGTGGGTGCCCTTGAGGAACCACAGAGGTGGGATATGGGTTGCAGTTGCCCTGGTGACAGTACAGACAATTCCCCAAATCATTACATGTTCTCAGGGAGATGGTTCTGGCTTTCTGAGCCTGTGCCAATCCTGCGCCCTCAGCTGCTTTAACTTATGCCACCTGAATAAGGGTCTCTATGGGCTTGTCTACACATAAACTGCTACAGTGGTGCCACTGTAGCGCTTCAAAGAAGATGCTACCTATGCCGTCAGCATAAGTAATCCACCTACCCATCGACCTACTGCTGCCCACAGTGGGGGAGAGATCGCATTAACTGTGGCAACCAGGGATGTGGATTTTTCATACCCTGGAGCGATAGAATTATACCAACATAAGTTCGTAATATAGACTAAGCCTAAGGGTCTGAACACCACTAAAGGATCGACCTGCATTTCTGAGGAATATATAAACCATGGAAAATATAGGTTTGGAATGGAAGTGCCATCTCAACCATACGTCTATACCTACTCAAACTCTTTGAGGAAGAAAGGACCTAAATCATATATGGCCCACAGCTCCCTTGCCCTCACCAGCCCAGCAGATGCACAGTCCCCCAGCAAATGGCCTCCGGGCAGACGAACCCTGCCATGTTCAGAGCTTGCGCCACCAACTTTTCACATGCAGAAACCCATGGGGCAGGGGAATTTCTGGGGCAGGCTGGGGGTAGGCCAGAGGAGGGAGGGGATATATTGGCACCATGGCCAGTGTAGTTAGGGTAGTTCTGCACCCTGGCTATTCCAAAGCCAGAAGACCCATAGAAGCCATAGGCGCTAGAGTGCAATTTAAGGCTGCCCTAGTTTGCACTGGGAGCTGCACTGGAGCACAACAGACACATCGGGATGACACAAGCTGCTTCAATGGTTCCTCCAGTCTTAGCACTGGAATGAGTTTGGCCCAGAGTGTAGAAAAATGAGAGAGAGAGAGAGAGAGAGAAATACCCCACTGCAAGATTAATAAAGGTGGGATTGATTTTCTTTAACACACGTACCATTATCTATGACCTCAGTTTCCTCAGTCAGTACTCCCGACAAAGCAATTCTGTAATAATACTGAGATAACACCTGGTTGTTGGGGGAGCCAGTTAAATTTGCTTTCAAAAAAATAAAGGAAGGATCTTATAACGAGACTTAATTCAAACATATGCATGACAGTATATACTTAGTTAAACGACTGTCTTGTGATAAAATCAAAGTAGATTGTTTAATGATGTTTTTTCAGACTCTAAATATCTGTCAGTATTTACACCTTTTACCAGAGGGATTTCACTTTATGGGATGATAACTAACTTTCCCTTGTGTTTTCTGTTTTTCCACTCACCCCACCCCTCATTTTTGAGAGGACAGTGTGCGTGTACTGTGTCATTAACTTTGCTAAGACAACTCAGAGGATAAAGCACTACTGAAACATCAAGGAGTCTGGTGGCACCTTAAAGACTAACAGATTTATTTGGGCATAAGCTTTCGTGAGTTAAAACCTCACTTCTTCGGATGCGTCTCTTCCTGCCTTCTATTCACATTTTAATCTAGGGCTATATCTGAAGAAAAGCTTCTCAAAAGGTAAGGAATTAAGAATCCATCCAACCACAGTGAAGTCAATGGGAGTTTTGCAATTGACTTAAATAGAAAGATCAGGCATCGAGGAAATTTAAATAAATAAATATGAATAGGTAAAAAATAAATTCTATATTATAGCAGAGGAGAATATTTTCAATAATAAAGTATTCTTTGCTACTTATTTACCTATTTCAAAATGCCATTGAAAGCGGTAGTTACAACAGATATTTTGCTATGTTCTATTATTTACTTCCTAGTTACCTACACATTTGTGGTATACTGGTGGACATAATACAACTCTTTGGAATTATTAGGTGGTAGCCGTGTTAGTCTGTATCCACAAAAACAACAAGGAGTCCGGTAGCACCTTAAAGACTAAAGACTAGACTTTAAGGTGCCACCGGACTCCTTGTTGTTTTTTGGAATTATTGTACTCTCACTCATGTCGACTTTAATTCTATTTTTCAGAAAGATTTAAAAACTGAAGAGCTTGACCTACCAGTGCCACATCATCACCAATGGTATACAAATGCAAACACTAAAAAATTCAGAATAGCTAACAACAAAAGCACAACATGACTTCAGTGCTTCAGAATGAAGAAGCACAATATTGCTTTGAGAATATTAATGGATCTTGCCATAAAACATCGTGGTCTTCTGGAATCCGGATAACTTTGTATGTTGTGCTTGGTTTTCTGACAATTCTTACACTAGGTGGAAACCTAATGGTAATGATTTCAATTGCTTATTTCAAACAGCTTCACTCTCCTACAAATATCTTGCTCGCCTCCTTGGCATGTGCTGATTTTTGTTTGGGTCTGACTGTGCTGCCCTTCAGCAGTATAAGATCTGTCGAAACATGCTGGTATTTTGGGGAAACATTCTGTAGATTCCATAGTTCTTTAGAAGTATCTTTTTGTTATTCATCAATATTTCACTTATGTTTCATCTCTGTTGATCGCTATGTTGCTGTTACTGATCCTCTAATTTATCCTCTCAAGTTCACAGTGCCAGTTTCAGGCATGTTCATAGCTGTTGCCTGGATATTTTCATTAGTATTCAGTTTTTCTGTTGTCTTCACTGGGGCTAATGACAAAGGGATACAAGAATTAGTAAATGCCCTCTCCTGTGTAGGGAGCTGTCAGATTCTCTTCAACAAAACATGGGTGGCTGTAACCTCCCTCCTTTATCTAATACCTTTTTTTACAACGATAGCACTTTACAGCAAGATCTTTGCTGTGGCTAAACGACAAGCTAGAATGATAGAGATGATGAGCAACAACACCCAGTCGTCTGACACTTACAGTGACAGAGTTAGCAAAAGAGAAAGGAAAGCTGCTAAAACCATTGGTATTGCTGTGATTGCTTTTGTGGTATTCTGGTCACCTTATTCTATAACTGTAATAACTGATGCTTTTTTTAACTTCATAACACCACCCCTTGTCTTTGACATTGTGGTTTGGTTCACTTATTCCAACTCTGCCATTAATCCTTTGATTTACTCTGTCTTTTATCCTTGGTTTCGTAAAGCAATGAAAGTGATTGTGAGCTGTAAAATGCTCCGACTTGATTGTTCAACAATGAATTTATTTCCAAACTGAAAACCTATCCAATCCTGCACAGAGCTACTCACCTCACACTTCACAGTCATTCCCCTTTTCATAAAATCTGGCTGTGTATTTTTTTTTCTGGATGAAATATTTCATCTTGATTTTATACTTTGTACAGCTAGTTATCATTGTGAAAAACTGGTTTATCATGTAATATCAAGACAATTTATTTACAGATACTGTTAATTTAATACTAGCTTATGGTAGGAAACAATAATAGAGCAATGTCCATTGGTTGTAATTGTGGAACTGAGAAGATAAAATGATAAAAAATGGTAAAAAAAGAAAGATCAAAAATTAGTTTTTCAGTGAAATTCATCTCTATGTGTTAGGAAGTACTAACAATAAAGAAAAACAGAAATGATTTTCCAGTCTTTTAAAACCTGTATGGATCATTATTTACCAAATGAACAATATAAATATTAATATTTTATACTTATACATTACTATCAGCTTATGGGTTCTTTACTTATACTAATGAATTATGTCCCCCAACACCTATATGGAATGGATATTATTATCTTCATTTAATGAATAAGAACATTGAATTTCAGAGTGAGATGGACGTTTAACACCCTTAAGCTCCTTTGAAAAACCCAACCAAAGAGATCAAGGACCCAATCCTGCTACTTTTCAAATTGGTGGCAAAACTCCCATTGACTTTTAATGTGAGCAAGAATAAGCCAACACTGACTTGTTCATATTCCCATAGGAAATGTCCAGCTCTGTGCCTTAACCACAAGACCAACCTTTCTCTCAGGGAAGTATTGAGTAGAAATAAGACTCTTTCATGTGCACAAGGGTTCCTCACACAAAGGAGGGTTCTAGTAATAACAGACACTAAAATAAAACAATAACCTAACGTGAAATTCAGATACCAGTGAATTCAATGGTAAAACTCCCCTTGATGTCAACGGGACCAAGATTTTACCCCTGCTGTTTTGAGAGAAAACTGTCCTTTCCATTACAGGAGAAAATCCAATCACAAAACAGTCTTCTGTGTCACAGCAACATTCTAAGGACTTGTCTATACTTGTAAGTTATTTTGGTTTAAAACAAGGTGTGAATTTAAAGTGCAATAGCTAGCTATTCTGCAATGTCAATTCCAGTTAATTTCCCATGTAGACAAATATTAAAATATTTCTTACTAGCAGCAAGGGGTCTGGATTTCAAACACTTGCTACAGAAGCCCTGGACAGGCCAGTTGTGAATGAGAAATATTTGTTAGTTTGCAATATTGCCATATAATAACAATAACTGCTTATTATCTGGTTTTCTAAATTGTAACAGAAGTAGGAGCATGCCATTGACTTTACTATAGTGGGCAAGCTAACTGTTTATCACATGAAGTAACTGGGATTTTGTTAATACAAATTCCAAAAATAACTTTTTAAAAAATTCAACAAACAACAGGATGCGCAAGTTAGGGAGGATGAAGGATACTTGAGCACAGACTTCAGAATGTAGTGTGGTATTTTCAAAAGCACCCAGGACTGGCCTAACTCTGCTCCTGTTGAAGATTAAGTCCTACTCTAAATAATATGCAAAACACTATGGAGTGTAAATTTGTTTAAGTGGTTTTTCAATACATGTAATTAGCTTGTGAACTGTTTGGGCCAGGGGCCATCTTCCACCATATGTTTATACACACCCTAGTACCCTGGGGGCTGAGATTTCATTAGGCACTACCTTAATTCAAATAAATAAATAAATAAATTATTGTTATTCATTCTGATAAGACACACTAATAAAAACTGCCTTGGAAACCTCTGGTATACAGTTTATCATTTCATGCATTTATTATTAGTTTTATTGTTCTAAACTGAAGATAAAAGAAGCGTAAATCAAATGTTTGATATTAGAGGATAAAATACACAAGGCAGTCTGTACCATTTCAGCTCTGCAAAGAAGGTGTTCAATAAGAATGTGGGCAGATGGCTGTGAACCATATGTACTACCATATGGCTGGCAGAAGACAGTAGAATGGGGGGAGGTGGAAGGGGACAAGCCATACACCCCTTATGATACCGCAGTACTCATGGGCCAATGGCAGCCCTCCTTGGAGAAGAGGGCTGCGACTGATCAATCCTGAGACCTATAACAAGCAGTCAACAGAGTTTTATACTGCAGAATGGTCAATGAAACTTTACACGACCAGCCTGTACAGCAGAATCTGATCAGTTCAAAAGCACATTACTTTCTTTCCAGTTCACTTTCAGAATACCGTATACGGTACGGAATACTCATTCGCTTTTCAAGGTCTGGGAAAGACACACCTCTTCATGCAGCCTTTCCCACAATAAGGAGGAATATAGAGTGGCCAGGTGTCTGAATTTCAGAGATGCTGAGTACACACACCTTCCATTGACTTCAAAAAGAATTTTGGGGACTAGTAAAATCAGCCTCCCACCCTCCCACCCCCTTGCTCCTTGTTTTTCCTCTCATTCCCCTTAGATTTCCTCTGCCTAATATGGGCACATGAAACATGTTTTTGCCTCAAGAGGAGCAGAGAAGATGGTACATAATCAGATAGCTATTTAACCCTGAACTGAGCACCCTAATGCTACATGGATGGAAGCTCTAGAAATAAATAGATTAGACAGTCTGACAGATAATATTGCTCAGAAACATTTCTTTTTCCCCTCTCTTGGGACAATTTTGTGACCTGTTTTGTGATCTACCTCTCCTCCCATCCTGTAAAATCCTTGTGGCAACAACAACAATTGGTTCCAAGGAATAATAATATTAGGTAAATATTTAATAGATTTTTATCTGTCTTGTAATGTAAAATAGCTGCTGAAAATAAGGAGGAGAAGCCAGCACCATGTGCCCACTGGGAAGATCTCCATGGATCACTGATAGCCGGCAAACCAGTTTGGGAACCCCTGCTTTCATAGGAATCACACAATACCATCAGAAGATATGAAATGTAGACATAGTTGTCCATATGCTGTGAATCAAAGTAAACTGTCTCCCCCAAGTTCCAGACAAAGTGTCTTCTCTGAAAAGGACATTTTTGATCATAACTACAAATCCAAAACAAAATACTGGTAGGTATATTGCTTTGAGAGAAGGGGTTGATTCTGATGTCAGCTAAGTCTCTGTAAATCAGGAGTGACTGTACAGAAATCAGTAGAGTTATATTGGTGTAATACCAATGTGAGATCAAAATCAAGTCCAAGATCTTCGGCTATCAGAGGAGAGTAGGATAACATCACTGTTGTGCCATCTAGTGGGTGATCCTGAATATTTCAACTGTAAGAAAAACAAAGCAATACAAATATCAGCATTAAAATAATTGCTACACAAAATGAAATATTAAATCCACAGCCACCATGCATACAGAATTTATGTAGCGTATGATAGCACAGATACATGGGAGTGTCATTTTCATTACTTTGTAAAAAAAATATCAAAAGGCACCTATATCTGTTCAACTGAATTCCAAATAGCTGGCATAAAGACCTCACCTAAACCCTGCTAATCTACTTTGTTACAGAGATGAATCCTCTCTGGTATGCTTTAATAACTATGACTAAACGCTATCACATTGTTTAAATTAATTGAAGAAAGGGCACAGAATCTGAAAAACTCTGTGCCCTTTCTTCAATTAACTTAAACAATTTGATACCGTTTAGTCATAGTTAATGAGATGGAAGAGTGTTGTGGAATAAGTATTGATATCAGAACTTCAACTAATATTTTATCAGTTGTTTGGGTTTTTCTTCTTCTAAGTTTTTTAAACTTCCTCTTAGTATGATTGTATTGTGGTAGCACCTAAGGGCTCCAAGCAGGGATCAAGGCTCCACAGTGCCAGGCACAAACACATAACAAAAAACAGTCTCTGCCCTTAAGAGCTCACAGGTTAAGTAACATCTATGTCACTATGTCATATTTATATAAGCATAACATATATTTGGAAGGGTTTCTCTCTCTCTCTCTCTCTCTCTCTCTCTCTCTCTATTTTTTTTAATACAGCGGATATTAGACTCTAATTTCAGACTGCGAATGAACACTTTAAATATTCTAAAAATTAAAAAAAAAAGTGATGAAAATATTAAGGTTCTTGATATCCCCACTAGGAAACAATAATAAAATTGTAGAACTGCCTAGAAGCCTAGGATGACTGGGAAAAGAAGATAGTGGGTGGAAACAAGAGTCATTAAATATTGGAGACAGAAGAGGGCGGAGGTGTGAACTACTCTGCTAACTACCAGGCTCCAGGACCCGTCCTGCAGGGTTCCCAGGCTCATGCTCTAGAGCAGGGGTGGGCAACCTTTCAGAAGTTAAGGCTTCACGTGCCAGTAATACATTTTAACGTTTTTTAGAAGGGCTCACTATAAGTCTATTTATTATATAACCAAACTACTGTTATATGTAAAGTAAACAAGGTTTTCAAAAATGTTTCAGAAGCTTTAATTTAAAATTAAATTAAAAT